TTCCATAAATTTGCAGCAGCTATAGATTGGTTGTTGGTTCGCCGAGCTTGGCAGTTGGATTTCAAACTTTTTGTCACCAGTCGAGGTGACATCGTCAGTGCACTCAACCAGGCACTGACGATGTCACCGCGATTGGTGATGAAACGTTCGCAATTCTACTGCCAAGCTCGGAGAACAGACCAACGACCAAGCAGCGCATCCGAGCTACCTACATTCCACAGCATTGCTCAGACAGAGCTTTAGGGTATTACACTGCCGAAAGGTTAGAATTTATGTAAAGGTTTGTAGAGAGGAGGGGAATTTGGTGGGTTCTGACTAGAACAAAAGTTGAGACTCACTCATCTCGGCACTGAATTCCTATAGATAAACGCCTGTGCAAGACATAAAAATCCATAGCTTCTGGCCGGATATTTCGCATGGAACAAACGTTGAGATTCACTCGTCTATCCCATTTCAACGGCATTTGATTGCAAAGCATTAATTTTTGCTTCTTTACACTTCCTAAAGGGGTTTGTTTGAACTCTAGACATGACCAACCGGGGCACCATGCTGATCCATTTTTCGATTCAAATACAAAAAATACTTGCGCAAAGCAAAACAAATCCAAAACGTACCAATAAATTTACCAGAGCGGTGCCAATGTTGTCTCAGATTATAACTGCGACAACGTGAATTTGACACTTAAAGGACACTTTTGTTTCGGTCAGAAAAAGTGACCGGTAGCGAACATGACAGCCACTGAACAGCGTTGACGACGGCATCAAATCACAATGGAGGAAGGTGTTGGGACGTCGGCCTTCTTGGACGTGATCATCACCCCGTTACAGAGTGTACAGTTACCAACTTATGTCTGCAGGAAAGCAGTTCGCACGGACTTAACCCTAAAGTCCCATATCAAATGGCCAAGTTGCTTGAAACTTAGCTGCTTGTAACCACTGTTCAGGCAGATCGGAAAGTATTGGAAAACCAGGGAAACCACCTCAGAAGGGGAGGGACTTCGTACCAAGTATTCTAAAGAAATGACTATGTAATAAATTGTATCCAAAAACCCTAAAACAAAAACATACTTTGATTAGTTAAAAACCCAAGGAGAACCCCAGTGAATGACTCCTCCTTATATCAAGTATCTACTTGAAATAATGGCCAGAAAGCTATGATAGTACAGTACAAAGGTACCCCAGGAGACTACAAGTACACATCGGAAAATCCTGTCAGAACTAAAAGAGAAGTTGTAATCCATGGAGAAGACCAGTTTTACGTGTAAGTAAATGCGAAATTCACATTGAAAGATAAGAAAACAGCATCAATTTTATCTTATGTCATTATGTGGGAACCAAGAAGGATGCAACTTTAGCCGGAAACCTAATCTCGTGCAAGAACGAAGGAATGTGAAGTCATGCAGAAAAAAATATACCAACATTCAGGCTGACACTGATCCGGTATGTCAATCTTTAACCTCAAAGGAGCTTCGAAAGCAAAAGGATTGTAACACGCTAGTAACCAGAGTGGAAACCCATAGAAAGACTGTAGGGGTACGAAATCGAGTGGCTAGAATCAAAATCACTCAAATGTACAGTCGGGTAGGAAACAGAATAAAAATCAGAATGTTCAAAACCTCAGATGGATTTAGACTGCTCTTGGAACGAGTCGGAACTCAGGAAGTCAGAGCGTAGCGTAACAAAATGTGAGATAAATTTTACTAAAGAAAGAATAATCCAGAAATAGAGGGAGTTTAGTTGACTGGTCATACGCCAGGAGGGTATTTTGACGTGCGAAACAAAAGCAATGGAATCGGAACAAAAGCAGAACTGATGATATGAATACCACCGACAGACCAAGCAACTGTAAATAACTTGAGCCCTAGAGCAACACAAATTTCAAACAAATCAAGAAAACTGTATGCAAGCGAAGCTCCTTGCAAACAGTCAACCATCCTTAAGAAACTAAATAAACATAGAGGAACTGTCCACCTGACCGCACACCGATGACATCCCTTTGAGATGGGACGGAACAGTGCAAGGCATTTGAAAATCTCGCTATGCAGATCGATTGACGCCCGACCAATGGGCAGATATTCATTAGTGTTACACAGCGGCATGTAAGCCAGGAGGATGTATCCCCCAACCCGCGCACCGATAGTATCTCGTGGATTGGTAACGAAAGCCTTACAAGCCAATTATCAGGCTAGGTAATCAGCCTCCGAGCCACAAGAACGACCTGTTGTGTATAGTAATACTCTTGCTGCAACGCTTCTAGACATATTGACTGGCGAATTGTGTAATGTAGCTTGCACAAGCCTAGGAACGAAACAAGTGAATTTAGAAGCTTGTTCGCAGTGCAGCAAACTTTAAGGTCTTGTATGACCTTCACGTGACCTACAGTGCACAATTTACTCATAGGTTGTCAGACACTGAACTGCTGCAATGGCAGCGGCGATTGCGACCGGGTTTCAATGTCCCGTTCCGTTCTGTTGAACACGACGTTTCCGCGTTCTAACTCTTACCTGGTATACACCAGTCCCAAGAAATATTTTGCAAACCTTGAGAAATATCGACACTAATCTTCCAAATGGCAACATCTCTACATTTCCTGCAACTTGATACGTGAACCGACCAATTATGTCGAACCGTTCACATTGTATTTATTTTACATTATGGGATGCATAAAGTAACAAATAGGATTGCAAGAGTACAAACATTCTTGGTAGAAACACATTCCTTCCGGCGAAAAACAAAAATTCAGAAGCCGCCGTTTTCATACTGATCATCAGAGCAAGCAATTTTTCCAATGTTTTGGTCAGGCTTCCCAGTTTATAAGATGGTGAGTAGTAAAATCAGATTCTGGAATACAAGAGATTCAGGCAAATGTTCACCAGTTAATTCTAGTTGATTGGTTAAGCCGGAATCAATATAGCTACTGAGAACAGCAAGCTAACTGATACAGAAATCAAGTGTAAAGTTCAAAAGGACGATGTGCATACTTTCGTCATAGTCCGTAAGCTCGTGAACGGCACCCGGGCCTGTACGTATGCCTTTTGATAGCACAATCATTGTTGGACACATGATGACGGGACCAGTCTTTCGGATCCTGAAATAAAAAATCTTAGGAATGAAAATTGGCTGCGTTGCATGCGAACATTTCGATTTTAGCTGACTTACAACGAAAGGACAGTCAGTGATTCGGATATAGACCTACTGGTTTCGAAATCTCCTTACCTTTGCTCTTTCGAACTGGCGAAATATGCGATAATACCTGGAGTCAATTCAGCTGATTGTTCCACTACAACTATCGCAATCATAGGTCACAAAAACGTTCAAAGCTGTCCGAAGCATGCTAAACATATGGATATTCGAGATTTGGAGGATTCTTTCCAAGCAGTAATTCTTCCCCCACTCTACTGCACAAGTTAGCAAGAAGCTCTGTATTTAACTGCGGAATACCAAGGACAGATGTTCCCATTGAGTTTGGAACTGACGATGTATTGATACCGAAACATGTTAGTCCAAAATAAAGCTGTGCCTTGGCGTGAACCTGTAGAATATTTGTGCACCAAAATCCTCACTGCACAAAAGCACCCTATATGCCGACGCGCAGTCTAACTGATGTTACTAATTTATCCATAGACATTTGCGAGATATGAGTAGTACTATATTGCAACACATGTACAGGATTTTTTTCACTAAAGAGCAGCCGGAATGCACCCAACAAAGTGCGTATTTTGTTGACACGGGATATATTCGAAAAAGGTCCTTTTCGGATGTCCGGCCAATCTGTGTCTGGATTTTCTTTGACGAAGAATAAAGGCTCCTTCTCGAATAATTCATCCTCGAACTAGTGCATCTTGATATCCTATATGGTGAAAAAAGCTGAAATCATTGGAAATTTTGTTTATTTCACATAACGGTGTTCAGTGAGTAGCCAAACCGTAGATGTTATATTGATCACTTTTTCCCTAGCTTCATGAAGGCCATTTCGATCGCCAGGTAGCTTCCTCTACTAAATCAAGGTAGTCCTAGCTTCTGGAAGAGTCGATTATTTTTGGAACAAAATCGGATCACGCAGCGAATTGTGACGCTCTCAGCTGTCCTCAAGGGCCGTAGGTGAAGACCGTTTGATACGGGTCTGGAAAGCTAACTTCAGGTTCGGTGTAGTATTTGTTTTGTTTGTCCTTCTTCCCACCAAACACAGGCAACCACCGTTAATCTAAACTAAAAAAACTGTACTGTATTTGGGACTAACCCATTTACAGAGGATACGTCACTACACGCGTCGTTCCGCTAAAACCTGAGTCGCTTCAACGTTTCCAGACAGTTTCAACAAAGCACACTGCCCTCCGTAACAGTTTGGAAGATTTAGTGTGGCATAAAGTTTCTATGATGCTGACCTTAGAGTATACGTGGATACTTCCGAGCTAAAACACCAAGGATGACTAAAATAGCGTCAATGGACGGAAAAGAGCTCCGTTTAGCTTGAAGTCCGGAATAAGCCTCCTGGGAATTCGTTGCGAAAAGGGAATTTTGACCTCTTCTCAAGGTTGGTCTCTCTTCGCAAAGGTATATTTGTGGAAGAGATGAATTATTGTGAATTAGTGACGCATAATTGGCAGACAGTAGCAACCCTCTTTCCACGTTAATCCGCAGCTGACTTCTCATTTCCATATCCAAGTGTTATTTATTTCTCTACCCCATCAGCAATATTCTACTTTCCACGCCATTAATCCCCTCCTATTATGAACAGGACCGGAACTTAATTCCATCCAAATTTGTCAAACTCAATCACTATATCCGCTTTCAATTTTTTGGCAAAAACGACTTTATCCACTTGAATGAATGCTGAATAATGGATTATTTGACACAATCTTCCACCGTCCTCTATTCATTCAAAAACCGAAAGATAACTGTTCCTAAAACACTGTTTTCACCATCTTTATAACCGGATAAGGGTATGCATCCGGAAATCCGTAGGTTGAAACATTAGATTGGACCTTTTTCATAAAAGAAACTACTCACAAGTTTGCTGAAAAATCTTCGGCAGCCCTGAGCCACCTTCGCCCTTCTTGGGGCTCATCAGAAAGGCGCAGTCCCCGAGTTTCCGTCAGTCTTATGTTCTACTTGAACCCAAATCGGACTGTTTTCGAGAAATACACCAATTTGCAAGTCAATTCGGTTTTCACAAGAGACTCAACTGGATCTCTCGTTTATGATATTCTACAACTGAATGTGCTGCACACAGGCCGCCTCATGATTCACTTGTCACGATACTCGAGATTTTGCAGTATATTTTCG